ATTATGAGGATTGTACTTTGGATATCCTATTAGGGTCACCATGCACAATACCCAAATCAGGGTTAAGATTGAATGTTGGACACAAGAGCTTCATAACATAGGGTTATGAATGTTCTTTTCAACTCTGTTAATCACTTGTAATGTCAATTGCTGCCTGCAAGTGTTGAAAACTTGAAACAGATTCTGATACATTCAGGATCTCAATAGTGGTAAACTTCTATAATTGTGCAATGTAACTGCTGTAAGTATATATTAGTTTTACATTTCTTGTTCACAATAACTAAAAGCTGTTTTATAATTATGTAGCCTCTCTTTGTTAGTCTCAGATTTTTTTTATTGATTGACTTCAGTTAATTCTGTATGAACATTGTGCCTTAGTTGTGAGAGTGTTGTGCTGCCTGACCTCTCGGATACCCCAGCCTGCAAGGAAACGTAGCTCTGCAGGAAGCTTGTCCGACATGTCAGCTTTGATGGTCAAGGTTGAACCTGGAGGTAAGCTGCATGTTTTATGCTGCAATTATTGCCTGTATAAGAGTGGGCTAATGTTTTGAATGATGAAGCTACTTGCATTTTTGAAATTAAAGGTTTACTTATTTTAAAAATTTGATCTCTTGTGATCACAACAGTTGAGCATAAATCATTGCCTGTTAAATTCAACTATACAGCATCATCATATATACAGCATCATCATTTTGACAAGCAGGGTTACAGAAACTATTCTACATCCCAATTATGCATCATTAATTTTTTTTTCTTTTTGCAGTCATGGATGCCAGCGATGACTCATCTCTACTCCCAAATGTTTCAGTTGTTTATATCAAAGGAGAGCCAGAAATGGAGGAAGAGGACATAACTCTGAAGCAGGAACCAATTTCCATAGAGGAAAATAAGGTAAAATTTACATTAATCATCTTAAATTCATGTACAACGAATTTCTCTGTGCACAAAAAATAAATGTTAATAATTGTAACAGATTTGAAATTCCGTTTGCTTTAAACAAACGTTTTGTTTTTGTAAAGACAGTTTTCAAGGAAATTTGGGCTTCTTGAGACCATGACTCAGTTTATTCTCAGTTTATTGTCTTGTCCAAAATTATATGTGCATCTGCTTTCACTCTCCAGGAGACCACACCATGCCAAGTTCAGGTCAGCGACAGCAAGGAACAATGGGCGGCAGTCAATTGTATGATGAAGGATGAACAAAAGGCCGATATGGAAGGAAATATTTCTCCAGTGCCAGATAGAGCAGGCTTAGTTCACGGAAAGCTCCAGGAGAAGAGTGGTCGTTTGGTGAATTCTCAGAGATCTGATAGTGATGATGGAGATGGTGGTGATTATGATGGCAAAGATGTTGTTCATAATAATGATGATGGAAAAAACGAAGAAGGAATAAGAGCAGCTGAAAACTCACAAGGACTTTCTGCCACTGCACATAAAAAGAAGAACAGAATGAGATGTAAACTATGTAATTATTCATGCATTTCTGTAGCTAAGCTTGAGCTTCACAAATTCTCCAAACATGGTTTAGGGAAAGGATTCCAATGCAATCTGTGTGACTATGCAGCTGCTGTGAAATTGCAGCTCAAAAACCACAAATTTTTGAAACATGGGATTGGGAAAGGATTTACATGTAAGTTTTGTGATTATATTGGGATTTCAAAACGGGATTTCAAGAGCCATAATTTTTCAAAACATGGTATTGGGGAAGGTTTCCAGTGCAAGTTATGTGATTATTCTGCTCCTAGAAAAAATGACCTCGACCGTCACCAGACTACTATACATGGTTTAGGGAAAGGATTCCAATGTGAGTTGTGCGATTATGTAACTGCAATTAAATCCCATTTTGAAAGCCATCAATTTTGTAAACATGGGATTGGGGAGGGATTCCGATGTGAAGTGTGTGATTTTGTTACTGCTAGAAAACAGAACCTTAAGCGCCATCTTGTTTCAAAAGGCCATCTTATTTCGAAACATGGAGGTGGAGATTTGAAACATGGAGGTGGAGATTTAAAACATGGAGGTGGTATTGGAGATGGATTCCAATGCAAGTTGTGTGATTTTACAGCTAGAGCAAAGGATAATCTCAAGTATCACCAGGCTATCAAACATGGTTTGGGGAAACGATTCGAATGTGATTTGTGTGATTATGTTACTGCAATTAAATCCGGTATTGAGAGTCATAAATTTACTAAACATGGGATCGGGGAAGGATTCCAATGTGAGTTGTGTGATTATGTTGCCTCTCAAAAACGGGCCCTTAAGAGCCATCATGTTTCGAAACATGGAGGTGGATTCCAATGCAAGTTGTGTGATTATATAGCTACTAGTAAGCATTATCTCAATTGTCACCATGCGGTCAAACACGGTTTGGGGAAACGGGAACGTTTCCAATGTGAGATGTGTGATTATGTAACTGCATTTAAACACCAATTTAAGAGCCATCAATTTTGTAGACATGGGATCGGGGAAGGATTCCAATGTGAATTGTGTGATTATGTTGCTCCAAGAAAAAGCAGTCTCAAAGACCACAAAACTGCTAAACATGGTTTGTAGATAGGATTCCAATGCTTGTTGGGTAACAATTTCTTTGCTCTCAAACTCTTGCACAAAGGTTAAAGTTTGTTTGAGCAGCAGGTCTCAATCAGGTCTCTCCGGCGTCTAATTCTATTCATTAGAATCGAGACGTAATATTCCTTAGACGTGATAGATTGATGGAAAAGTACCAGACCTGAGTCAGCATGGAAACATCACGTGACAGGTCACGCGATCAGGACCTCAGTAGTGGCGGAAGCAGTGATCCCATAAAAGGGCTGGGAACCTTAGTAAGGCCCCCAGAAGCTGACAAGTCCGCACGCCGCAATGTAACTAGCATTAGAGCTAGTACTCCAACCTAACGGTCGATGTCTAAGTATTATAACACTAATATAACACTCGTGTGTAACTGCATTATACCACTAATTTAACTCCTGTATAACCACCCCGTATCAAGATAAGTTCTCTAGACCGCTGGTGTCTTACGCTTACGAACTTAATCAACGAATCCTTAGCCAGTCAGATGGCGCTTAACATAGGGCATGACAGGAAGGCACTAGTGCCAGATTTCTCAGTGTGCATTTGGGATGATGAGTGAGCTTCAAGTTCATGCTGTGCTAGTTTGCTTATTCCAGTTAACAACCACTTGCTACTTCCAGTTAACCACTTGTGTTTGCATCTAACATCTTGAAGCGTATTCAGATATAAGTTGCGTGAACATGTTGAAGTTTCCACAGTAACTAAATTTGATGGAACTGATAATAGAATTATTCTCAATATGAGTTTGCCGATCCCACTGGAAGCTTGAAAGAAAATTGCACATGAAATATGGCATTGGGAAATTTGATATTTGTTGCAATTTAAGTTGTGGGCCTTTTCATCATATGTAGTAGTTATCATAGTTATTAAAGACGTGTATTGCTTGCAGGTTGAAGAAGGCTATGCTGCTGGATAGACTTTATGAATCCTAAGTTTTTTAAAGAGATGATTCTAAAGGGGTGGCTGGTTGGTCAGTCCCTTCTGCAGGCAAGCAAACAAATATGCAGAACTTGGAATTTCTGAAACCAGTGCAATAAATTATGAACATTGCAGTTAAAGAATTCAATGTTATCACTATTTTATAAATTCTTTATTTAATTCTTAAGCAAGCGTGCAAATGTAGATGATAACCATCTAATTTTAATCTAATTAAATTCTCCAAGTTGATTTATATAATTTAATAGGAATATTGATTTCCTTCTTTTTTAAAAAGTGTGAAAAAGCCTCAATTTCCTTGTTGGAGCTAAAACTTTTATTCAACTGTTCATATTTTAATTTTGTGGTATGTAACGGTGTGATGTTAATTTAGGAACAATATTTAGATAATTGACGATCTGCTAAAATCATAATAACGCAGCCTACAACATGGACTGAGGGCCATGATGGCTTTATTTGGTAACAGATATTCTAGAAGAAAATATACGGTCACTTGCCCACAAGACTGTTAAGAACATTAAAGCTGGGATTGTGAAGTTAAGAAGTTAAGTTAAGATTGAAGCTGGGGTGTGTTCAATCTTAACATTGAAGTTAAGATTGAAGCTGGGGGTGTGAGACCTGCAGCAAGCTGTGACAATTTTGCAATTTCCTCTCTCCAGAATGGAGGAAAATCCAAGCATTGCTTTATCTTCAATACTGGAGTAAAATTAATTTTTTCGTCTGTTAGAGAATATATTATTTTCTGCACCTGTTATATAATTATAACTAAATTATTATAATTAAATGATTTCAATAACTGTAATTAGATTGAGTAACACAAATATCTTCATGTCTAAACCATTGAATTATTTACCTTAGCTCCGGTATAGAATTCTGCTCTCTGGGCTCCATTTATTATCGTTTCGTGAAATTTTGTTCAATGTATATCAGTCAGTTTCATCATAAGAAACAACATATTCTTTGCTTATATTGTCCCTAAAAATTCTACGTTTTGGAGATTAAGGTACAGTAGTTCCTTGAATGAAGCCAAATTGATGCTTTGCCTACGTTTTGGTTCTCACAAAATACGCATTTGGTGTTGTGCAGTCGTCTACGTGCTACAACAGTTGCAGGACGATGTTCTCTGTTGACATGTATCACACAATGTGCATTTGTTGAAGTTTATTTGTGCGCTGTAATTCAAGCATTGTGAGTAGAAAGGATTATTTGAACGCATATATACGATACCATCATTACCAGGCCACTACGTAGGCCTGAGACACTGGAAAATGATAGGAATTTAATTCTGTTACTAAAATTGTAACGTAATGATCAATTTGTAAGTATAAATTTTCTCCATGGACTCCGAACAAAACGAAATTGTTTCATATTCTTAATTAGGAGTTCTATGCCAGATGTTGCTTGGAACGTTTCTCCCATTGATTAACATTACTGTAGTTTAAAAATAATCACAAATATTACATTAAACATGATATCAGAGATTAAATTTCCCGAGCTACGCGGGGTTGAAGCTACTGATATCTTGTATAAGCAACTAATGCCGTTGTTTCTCTGGCGTATTTTAAGCTCTCTGATTTTATTTCTCTGCCATTGGCATCATGTCATCAAGGACCGATGATGCTTGATGCTAGTTATTCTTTATCTCAGTTAATTAGCGTTTTATGCTGGATTAACTTATGAACAAGCACCATGGTGAATTTGGTAAATAAATCCGTATTATTGGCAGTTTTGAAGACGCATCGACGTGGCTCTATCGAAGAACCAGTTCTCCAGTGGTGTCGGTTCAACGGCAGTCATTCCAACGCTCACCTTGCTAGTGACTGTCACTAAAAGCTAGTGACCGTCACTAGTGCTAGTGACCGTCACTAGATGCTAGTGACTGTCACTAGATGCTAGTGACTGTCACTAGATGCTAGTGACTGTCACTAGATGCTAGTGACTGTCACTAGATGCTAGTGACTGTCACTAGATGATAGTGACTGTCACTAGATGCTAGTGACTCACTAGATGCTAGTGACTGTCACTAAAAGCTAGTGACTGTCACTAGATGCTAGTGACTCACTAGATGCTAGTGACTCACTAAAAGCTAGTGACTGTCACTAGATGCTAGTGACTGTCACTAGATGCTAGTGACTGTCACTAGATGCTAGTGACTCACTAGATGCTAGTGACTGTCACTAAGAAGGCTGGTTTCCCCGCCCCTACAGTTCAGAGGCTGCTATATCAAAACTTGCTGAGGAGCAATTAGCGTCCCAAGTACACGTAGCGACCTGGGACTGTACTCACCGGAGAGGAGAAGAGAAATGTATATCATACTGTACACTTGAAAGATGATAACCGGACTGGCTCCCAACTTTGAATGTGAGGCCTCCAAAATTGTGACGTATTAATAATGATAATAACGGTATCAGCGTTTAATAGGCCGTAGGCATGTCGCCGATTCTTAACATCGCAGAACATTCACAGCATTTTGCGGTCTCGAAAGGAGGGGGAGACTGTGCAGGATTCCCTCATTCAATAACCGAGCCGCGTCCAGAGTACAGACTCTTCATGAGGGCTCACTGTCCGTGGTAGGACCGATGCTCTCACCATGGCTGAATCAGCGCTACTAGCCACTTCTCCAGCGAAGAAATCAACACATCGTTGTCCCTCTCGGCCGCGTCTCGGGCACAGGCCTCTGAAGCGGCTGAACCCTATACACGAGGACAGTTCAAGCGGCGGAAGAACTGGCGGCCAGTACTGTTCCCGTGTACAGGCACCTTTAGAGGTGGCCGTGTACATACGGTGCTATGGCTTTACGAACTTCACTTCACAGGCTACTATGCCTCCTAGTGTACTTGCCCACGAATGGGAGATAAACTGAATTGAGAAGTGGGGGGCAAAATGAGAAGTCTCGTGATCGGCATTCACTTTATAACCCTGGTGTAGCGTTTTATGCTGGATTAACTTATAAACAACTACTTGGGTGAATTAGGTGAATAAATCCGTGTTATTTGTTACAACAATCTTTCATAAAAAGGCAAATGCTGATTTTTTTAAAACTTGTGTTGACAACACGTGAATGTTTATGCATGAATTAATGAGTGCGATTAAAAATTACTTTATAATATGCGATTATAATATAAAGTAATATGCGATTATGCAATAAAGTAATATGCGATTAAAAATTACTTTATAAAAACAACACTTCAAAAGAATTCAGTGTCTTCGATGTTACAAATGTACAATAAATTTCTAATTTTACTATCAAATATAAAAAATAGTTTATACATTTTATTTTTAAAATAAAAATATATATATTTTTTCAAAATTATATATTCTGTCAATTGATTTAAGCATTGTCTACGACTTTACGCAACTGTGCAAAATTTCAGATCGATTGGACAGGTAGAAGTGTGTTAAATATCGAGTATAAGATATGGAGCAGACAAATTATTTTTTCAATTTTTTAACTAGATTGGGTCTCTATAAACAAAATTAGCGGAGCCTCACATACATGGCATACATACGACATTCACCAGATGCAAACGATCAGTCATATGCAGGCTATATTTTTCGTCACAAGAAAACACATTTCATTTTTTCGTCAAAAGAAAACGATCACTTATTCGCCACATGCGACCGATCACTTGCCACAGGCAACCTATCACTTATTCGCCACATGCACGCGATTAATTATTCGCCATCACAAACGATTAATTATTCGTCAAGGGCAAGCGATCACCTATTCGCCACATGCACACGATTAATTATTTGCCATATACATACGATCAATTATTCGCCACGTGCGAGTGATCACTTATCCTCCACGTGCACATGATTAGTTATTCGCCATATATATATACGATCGACTATTCGCCTCCTGCAAACGATCAAATATTCGTCAACCATTCGCCAATCAATCAATTATTCGCCACATACAAACTTACACGTATAACGATCATTTATCCGTCACTCAGGAACGACCGCAAAAATGCACCGGGAAAAACGGGTAACCCAGTCCGCTTTAATTTTGATTACACGGGTCTGAAAAAAATCTGAAAATTGTTTTTATTTCTGAAAGGGTGACTGGTTTTTGCACTTATTTCATTTTGGGTCACGATAACTTCAATTAATGCCTTGAAAGGGCATTAATTTTAATTGAACTCTCATTTTACATTTAATTAAATGTCTATAAAACCTTACTTCCCACCACAATATCGATGAATTTTTTTATAATTTTTAACGACGTCAATATTTTAAGCTTTCCGTTTCCATGTTGGCGGACCGGTCCGGGTCCGGGTTTTAGTCAGTACCTGCGATTTATAAATCGTGGAAGTGCACATCCGAAATTCCGAAGGGGATTCCGGTTCGAGCTGCGATCGACGACGGACGTTAGTAAGTTCCTAAGCCAGTGAGCCTACATATCT